AGTTCCAGCACTGGACAGGTGGTACACACCTACAGTTCCAGCACTGGGCAGGTGGTACACACCTACAGTTCCAGCACCGGACAGGTGGGACACACCTACAGTTCCAGCACTGGGCAGGTAGTACACACCTGTAGTTCCAGCACCGGACAGGTGGTACACACCTGTAGTTCCAGCACCGGACAAGTAGAGGCAAGGGGCTCAGAAATACAAGCTATAGTGATGTTAAGGCCAGCTTGGGCTACATGAGACCCTGTCTCAAAAAAGGTGGGGCCAGAGAGATGGCTCAGAGAGTAAAGACACTTGCTGCCACGCCTAGTCACCTGAGTTGAATCCCAAGGACTTACATGGCAGAATCCACATGTATTGTGGCATGTGTCATACCATACATACATACATACATTACATACATACATACATACATACATACATACATACAAAACATACTTTTGAAAAAGTTTTAATTGTATGTGTCTGGGCTGAGGAATGTGCACACGTGCCCTCACCCCAGAGGGCCAGATCCCCTGCAGCTGTAGTTACACCCTACATAAATGCTGGGACTCCAACTCAGGTCTGCTGAAGACCAGAGCTCTTAACCTCTGAGCCATTTCTCCAGTCCATCCAAAATACACAAACATACGAACAAACAGAAAGGGTTAAGGATGTAGCTCAGTTGGTAGAGAGCTGGCCTAGCATGGCCCTGGGTCCATCCCCAGCACTGCATATGACATGGTGGCATATGCCTGTAATACTGGCACTCAAAATGTGGAGAGAGGACCAGAAGTTCAAGGTCATCCTCAGCTATATAGTGAGTTTGAGGCTAGCTGGACTACATGAGACTCTGATTTAAAACCGGCACATACTTACAAACTATAGCGCAAGGAACATTTCGAAGCCAAAGACCACTTGGAAGACTAGACGGCAGGTGTTAAAGGTGGGGCCTTAGCGCCACCTGGTGGCAGAGAGTGCAAATGGCCACCCTCACCCTGCCAGCATGGGCCATCATCCCCAAATGACAGGCTGAAAAGAGAATGTACTAGCTTCAAAACTTTAATTAAATGCCTTGTAACTGACTACATACGTTTTTAGGGAGTCTTCTGGGTTTTACTACTTTATTTATTCATGTATGTGTGTACACGCATGTGTAGGTGTATTACCACACACATGTGGATACCAGAGGACAACTCATAGGAGTAAATTCTCTCTCCTTCCATCATGTGGGTCCTGGAGAGGAAACTCAGGTTGTTAAACTTGGTGGCAAGTGCATTTGCCTGCTGAGCCATCCTGCTGCCTGCTGCCTGCACAGCAGTGAGGACTGGACCCTGGACCTTGTGCAGGGTGCATGGGAGGCAAGCGCTCTAGCACTGAGCTACAGCCCTGGACAGATTACTGAGATAAAGTTTCTCTATGTAGCCCCAGCTGTCTTGGAACTTGTTCTGTAGACCAGGATGACCTCAAATTCACAGAGATCCACCCGACTCTGCTTCCTGAGTGTTGAGATTAAAGATTAAAGGTGTGCTATTTATTTATTTATTTATTGATAGACAAGGTTTCAGGGACCCCAGCTTGACCTTGAACTTGCTGTGTATAGCTGGCAGCAGCTTCAAGCGTCTGCTCCTTCTGCCTCCACATTCCAAGTGCGTCCATCACACTGTTTATGTGGTATTGGAGTGGACCTAGGCCTCTTACATGCCAGGTAAGCACACTAACAACTAAGCTACAATCCCAGCCCAGTGTTTCATTTGTTTTCATTTGAAACATGGTCTCATTCTACAGCCCAGGCAGTCCTCAAACTCAGGGCAGTCCTCGTGCTTCAGACTGTCTGTGCTGGCACTATACCCATGTGCTACCACACCTGACCCCAGCTGACACTGTGATTATAACCTCTAGAGAAACACTGGGTCTCCTGGCGGAGTGGGCCCTGAATTCTGAACCCAAAGATTTGATAATGAACATTTTGTCATTTAGGGCCACTGAGTTTCAGGTCATTTGTTGCATGCAGTCATAGTATTCGATTTTTCCTCCTCTTCTTCCTCTTCCTCCTATCTTTCATGTGTGTGTATGTCATATGCATGTGTGTGTATGTGTGTGCATGTTTTTGCATGTGTAGAGGCATACATGTTGCTGGAGATGGCTTAGTAAGTTGAGGACCTGAGTCCCCCCCCCCCCCCCGGTGAAAAGCCAGGCAGAGTGACACACTTTTGCAACGCTAGCACCAGGAAGGCAGGGACAGGTAACTTCTTGGGGCTCACAGGCCAGCCAGCCTAGCCTTCTTGACAATCTCTAGGCCAGCAGAGACCATCCTAAAAAAAAAGCACTTGAGGACTGACACCTGAAACTGCCCTCTGGTCTCCACAGGCCTGTGGACACACACAGACATACATACACACAAGTAACGCAGAGAAACCCTTCTTTCCTCCTTTGTTTTCCTCAGGTAATGTGGCCACAGCCACACCAAAATAATGACTATAGTACTGTCCACTACTATTCTTGTTGTAAAAACCTCCCTGGGAAAGTTCAGTTGGCAGAGTGCACTCAGGAAGCAGAGGGAGGTCTTTCAAACAGCTGTAACTACACACTCTCTCTTCCTCAGAGGCAGTGTTTCTCTGTGTAGTCCTGGCTGTCCTGAAACTCTCTCTGTAGACCAGGCTGACCTCAAACTCAGAAATCCACCTGCCTTTCCCTCCCAAGTGCTGGGGTTAAAGGCGTGTACCATCACAACCCAGCTTGAGAGACCCTTTCCTAATCAACGTCACCAAAAAGACAAAAATTACCAGTGTCCTCCTCTTTGTCCTTCTCTTTTCCTTCTTCTTCTTCCTCCTCCTCTTCTTCCTCATCCTGCCACCGCCGTACGCTCAGCTCCAGGGAACTGGTGTTACTGTCATACACGATGCAGTATCTCACACACTCCAGATCTACAGACTCTGGGATGAGGTACTGATGATCTCTCTGAGGAAACCACAGATCTGTGTTGCCGGGAGCTCAGCTGGCCCCGCCGTCCCTGTACAACACCCAGACAAGCCTGAGGCAGGGGCTGGGGGTCCTGGCCTCCTTCTGCTGATGATTCATGAGCTGGAAACACCATTAACAGATGGGAGAGTCTCTTGAATCCTCAAGGGTCCACCCTACCCACCACTAAGAAGAACACAAGCAGGTGACTAAGCCGGAGATGGCCTGGCTGGAGAGTGGCTGGTCCATCCCCGGTCTCTCAGCCCATCAGAGGTGCTGTGGCTGGATGGATGTCAGCAGGAGACCCAAACCCAAAACCATTCAATGATGGTACAGAGAAGGCCTGGGTCCTGAAGCAGAAGTCCCAAGTGAGTGAATGTCACCAGAACTGTGAGCAAATGCAGGCTATGGGACAGCAGGACTTGGGTCCCCTGTTCAGGCTCTAGTTGTATTACTATCTCACTGCTGTGACCAAGTGGCCGACAAGAGCAGTTTATGGAAAGAAGGCTCACAGTTTGTGGACTGTCAGTTGTGGGGGTGAGATGTGGCTGCCAGAGCACGAGGTGGTTGCTCACAGCGTGTTCCCAGAGGCAGCAGAGAGAATGCTGGCTCTCAGATAACTTTCTCGTGGGGTAGACAGAGGGTTGAGACAGGGTTTCTCTGTGTAGCCTTGGCTTCCCTGAAACTCACTCTGTAGACCAGGCTGGCCAGGAAGTAACAGATAAGCACCTGCCTCTGCCTCCTGAGTGCTGGGATAAAAAGCATGAGCCACCACCACTCAGTTTCACCTTCCCATGTTTAGTCAGTCTGGATCCAGTCCAGGGGATGGTGCTGACCACACTCAAGGTGAGTGTCCCACCTCCTTTAACCCATCTAGAAACCCTGCCACAGATACACCCCGAGTTCTGTCTCCAAGATGATACTAGATCCTACCATGCAGCCACTACTAACCATCACACTGCTGTATCCTGTGGGCGTCTAGATCAATCTCTGGCACATGACAGACCTTGAATGCAGGCTTCACATAGATGGATGAATGGCGGGCAGAAGCCATGAATGGCAGGGTCATGAGTGGCTGGGTCACCAGAATGTAGGTCCCGAGAGTGAAAATGAAAGATGTCATACTTTCAGTGTGAGATGTCTCTCACAGGCACAGGTGTCCCCAGATGATGACACTATTTTGGGCAATTATGGAACCTTTAGCAGGTAAAGTGGGTCCAGAGGAAAGCCTTGAGGGTTTTCAGTCCAGCCTCATTTCTGGTCCACTCTCTGCTTCCTGGTTATGGACAAAATGTGACCTGTGGGTTCACATGCCTGCTGTCGTGCCTTCCTCACTAAGACAGGGCTATACCCCTCAAACTGTGAGCTAAAATCCCCTCTCCCTTCCTCCTTTCCACTACAGTTGCTTTTGTTGATGCAATGAATGAGAAAGGTAACTAATAAAAGTGGTGGCGCACGCCTTTAATCCCAGCACTTGGGAGGCAGAGGCAGGCGGATTTCTGAGTTCGAGGCCAGCCTGGTCTACAGAGTGAGTTCCAGGACAGCCAGGGCTACACAGAGAAACCCTGTCTTGAAAAACCAAAAAAAAAAAAAAAAAGTGTTGAGCTCACTTAGGGAGGGGTGAGGTCACCAGGGGAGGGGTGAGGTCACCTGGGAAGGGGTGAGGTCACCTGGGGAGGGGATGTAGTCTAGACACATACAGGAACCCTACAGATGTTGTAGAGTTCAAGGATTCCTCACTAGAAGACAGTTCAGAATGTAGCCTTTGCTTGTTCTAAGTGTCCCTTAGGAGCCCCCTCACTAAGGGAATCTGAGCCCAACACTGTCTGTTGCAGCCTGGGCTATCTGACACAGAAGTCCCAACAGAGGACATGCGGGGGATCTATGACAAGTGCCCATGCATTCTGCTTTACAGAATAGTGTCAAGGCAGGAAGTTAAGGGCCACAGAAGTCCAGATTAACAAGAACCGCTGGAACACAAAGGGGAGAAATCTATTTGTCTAAAAGCTCAAGAGAATATTCAGGAAGATGTCTGTTGCGGGGTGGTGGTCCACACATGTCATGCCAACTTGAGGTGGCTGAGGCAGGAGGATCCTGAGATCCAGGACTGCCTAGACTCCACAGCAAGACTCTGGCTAAGAATAAATAAGGGCCAGGGAGATGGTTCAGCAAGGAAAGTGTTTGCTGATAAGTCTGAGAACCTGAGTTCAGTTCCTGGGACCCACATGTAGACATTATCTTCTGATCTCAAGTGTGACATGGTCTGGCCATCCCCAGATACATACCCAGCCCACCCCCACACAGAGAGACATGAGAGGAATGAAGCAAGCTGGAGAGATCGCTCGGCTGTTAAGGGCACGTGCAACACTTGAGGCAGACAAGGTCAGTCTCCAGCACCGCCTTTGGGAAGCTCACATCTGGCTGTGGCTCTAGAGGAGTCAATGGATCCCGTGTGCTCTTCTGGACTTTGCGGCACCTACGCTCATGTGCACACATGCAAACACACATATAGTTCTTAAAACATAATAATGTAATAAAAAATTTTAAGAAACATAAGGTAGAGAGATAGAAGATAGAATAATGTAATAAAAGATTTAAGAATCTTTTTTTTTTCATTCTACGAGACAGGGTTTCACTGTATAACCCTGGCTGTCCTGGAACTCACTCTGTAGACCAGGCTGGCCTCGAACTCAGAAATCCTCCTGCCTCTGCCTCCCAAGTGCTGGGATTAAAGGCGTTTGCCACCACTGCCTGGCAAGATTGAAGAATCTTAAGGTGGATGATAAAAGGTAACTACCATCCTTTGGCTGACGCATACACAGACACACACACACAATCAAATAATACACACACACAAGGTAAACAGAGGTTGGGATATGTTCTGGGCAGAGGGAAGACCTCTCTCTGGTCACCAGTATTTACCAGCCTGTACTGACTGCCTACCAGATGGCAGAGACCAAAGAAGACGAAGCACCCAGCTCGCAGATAAGTCCTGCAGGACCCAGAGCACATGTACAGAGGCTGTGCGGGCCTTCTTTCCCAGATCACAGACACCAATGACTGCAGGACAAGTTGCCTACTTAGTAACAGCAAGAACAGGGAGTATCCACCAGGAGGAGCTCTAAGGAATGTGGGAGGGACTCATGGGACAAGCACCACTCTGTCCCTCACAATGGATGCCACCCTCCGGCCCCAAGACAAAACCCCCCACTGCCTTCCTCCCCTCCTTCCTCAGCCTGATACCTTCTTCACTCGCAGGGCAGTGATCACGTGGCTCTCGTCGTACTGTCGTTTGGATCGGACATCTGGGGGAAGAAAAGGGTTGCACTCAGAACTGGGTGTGTAAAGGGACATCAGAACACTGGTGGGCAGGGGAGTAACTGCACTCAAGATACAGCTGTGATTCAGCACCTAGCACCTGTGAAGGAAGGACTGGAGGTGTGAGGATTTTGAGCAAGGGCTACATAGTAAGATTCTTGTCTTCAGATAAATAATTTCTGTATTTCTGCGTGTGTGTGGGGAGGGTCTACATGCCACACAAGTGGAGGCCGGAGGATAACCTGTGAGAGTCAGTTCTCTTTCCACTACGTGGTCTCCAGAGACGAGACTCAGGTCATCAGGCTTGGCGGCAAACACCTTTACCGACAAAGCCATCTCTTCAGTCTCTAGACTCTGTCTTTAACAACAGCAACAACAAAAACCCCTCCTAACTCCCTCCATCACCTCTACGTCTTCTTTTTTTGAGGGGGTGAGTGGTTCAAAATAGGGTTGTTTCTCTGTGTAGCGCTGGCTGTCCTAGAACTTGTACTATAAATCAAGCTAGCCTTGACCTCGCAGAGATCCACATGCCTCTGCCTCCCAAGTGCTGGGATTAAAGGTGTGACACCACCACCGTCCAGCTGGCCTCTTCATCTCTGAGATGGAGTCTCACCATGTGACCCAGGCAGCCTGAAACACTTGATTGTGTTGCTTGGCGTTGGGCCCTCAGCCTGGGCCACCATGCTGTGGAGAATTTCCCTTGATCTGATCTTGAACTGTCTTTCAGGTGTTGTCACACTCAGCTGCAGCACTATTTGCCTTTGCTTGTGTGTGTGTGATGTATAGAAGCAGAAAGCGTGGAGGTACGTGTACAAACGTGTGCACATGCCTGTGTGTCTTCCTCAATTACCCTCTACCTTATTTTCTGAAGCTAGGTCTCACTGTACCCAAAGGTCCCCTTTTCAGAGTCTAGTTAGCCAGCCTGCCCAGTGTATCCCATCTGCCTGGCCCGAGTTCTCAGATTACAGGCAGGCGTGGAACCCCTTGACTTTTATATGGGCGCTGGGGACCAAACCCTGGTATTGACGACTGCACAAGTACCTTACTCACTGAGCTTAATCTTCCCAGCCTAATCATAGGCAGCATTTTGAACCAAGCATTGATTTCCCTCTCCTGAAACTTGGCTACCCTTCAAAAGGAAGGTTTGCAGGCCACTGTTCTCAACATACCTGTTGGTTAATAGTATGCTTATGTTTGTGTGTGTGGCATTTGTGTTGGGGTGTGTGTGTGTGTGTACTGTTGGTATGTGTGTTTGGGTTGGCGGCTTTGTGTGTTGTATATCTGTATATTGTTGTTGGTGTGTTTGCTTTGATGTGTTGGTGTGTGTTGGCATGTGTGTCCTGTGTTGTATGTTGTCGTTGGTATGTGTGTTTGGGTTTGTGTGTTGGTGTGTGTTGATGTGTGCTATGTGTCTGCATCTTGATATTTGTAGGTGTTTGGGTTGATGTGTTGGTGTGTGTCATGTAGACTGCATGTTGGTGCATGTGTTTGTGTGTGTTTGGGTTGGTGTGTTGGTGTGTGTGAGTGTCTACACATTGATGTGTTTCGGTTGGTGTGTTGTTGTTCTTTTCTACTTACCCAGTAAACAGAGGTAGTTGGGCTCAGCTAGTCTGGACAGCTTGGAGACCTGATTCAAGATGTTATAGAGTTCTGTTGGCTCACAGAAAATCAGGTCAGCCATCCTACGGGAAGAGTCAACAACATCCACATATAACAGACATCTTTCTATTTAGACAAATGACCAGAAAATGAGATACAGAATTAAACACTTCAAAAAATGGAAGTCAGGGCCTGGGGCCATAGTTCAATTGACAGAGTGCTTGCCTAGCATTTGTAAATCACAACATATGAATATGCAAATTAACATGAATATGTAACTGTGTTACAACAAACGAAGCCATATAATACCAAGGAAGCTGTAAACAGTTATTTCAATTTCATTTGTTCTCTCTCTCTCTCTCTCTCCCTCTCTCTCTCTCTCTCTCTGTCTCTGTCTCTGTGTCTCTGGTTGTGTGTGTATATGTGCACACTACACAGACACACACACACAGTTAAATCTTTTAGATTTACTTTCTGAGTGTCTTGCCTGCCTATTTGTATCTGTACTATGTGCATGTCTGTGCTCGTGAAGTCCTGAGGAGGCTGTCAGCTGTGCTGGAACTAGAAGTATGGACAGTTGTGAGCCGCAGTGTGCATAGGAACCTCTGCAAGAGTAATAAATGCTCGTAGACACTGAGTCACCCTTCCAGCCCCTAATAATTAATTTTTAAAATTAGGTACTGGAGAGGTACCTTTGTGGTCAAGAGTATGTAATGCTTTTGCAGAAGGTCCCAATTCCCACATCATGTATCCCACAACTGCCTGTGAATCTAGTTTCAGGGGACCCAGCACCCTCTTACACCCTTCACTGGCACATGTGTATGTACCCACACAGGCATACGTGAATACACAGTTTAAAATAAGTCATTAAGATGTTTTAATATTATGGTTTGAGTATGAGATGTCTGCCACAGGCTCACAGTTGAATCTTCCTCCCCAGCTGGGGGACTGGTCAGAGGCCATTTACAGCGGCGGCTGCTCAACTGAGATGCCAGGAGGCTGGATGGATGGAGGAAGGGGAAGGAGAAAAAGAACACTATTCTCATGGGAGCAGGAGTGAGCTGGGGCATAGGAGGTCAGGAAGGTCTGACGCAGCTGCAGCTGGAGAAGAACATGAGGCCACTGAACAGCACCGTGGGCTGTGCTAAGGATCTGGCATCAAGGCTGATGTGTACAAAGCTGGCTCTGGTTATTGTTGGGAGGGGAGCTCCTTTTGGGACACTTAGTCCCCAGCATACTGTTTATAGAAGGGATGGACACACACACACTTCCTGTAGGGAAGCTGTCCTCTAGAAGGGTTCATCAAGGAGACCAGCAGGGAAATGTGGAAGAGAAATTGAGTCCAGAGGAGTAACCTTACTCAAAACAGGCTCCACGTGAGTCGCTGATACAAGGCTCTGAAACAAGTCACTATTTTGTGCAGGAGAGATGGCTCAGCAATTAAGAGAGTTTGTTACTCTTACAGATGACTCATCTTCAGTTCCCAGCACCCACACAGTGGCTCAAACCATCTGTGACTCCAGTTCCAAGGACTCCAATGGCTCCCAACCTCCACTGGCACCGGGCACACATAAGATGCACATACATACATACATGCAGGCAGAACACTCATACAAATCAAGTAAATCTAAAAAGCTATATTCATCAAAGACTTCAATTCCCAGATCCCAAACCCAGCATCACCGCTGCAGCGGGTCCTTCCTGAGCACCCAA